AATAATAATGAACATTTATAAAGCGCCAGTACCCGCCACAAACGGTGCTCATGGTGCTAATAAGCAAAGACATCCAATAATGATAAGTTGAGGAATATTAACCAAATGCTTGTCTATGCAAATATGAATTTAATCTGTTTAATTCCGGTAAAGAGTTCTAAAGTTTGGGTGCTTCAATCTGAAAGCTTCTCTCCCCCCAACAATAATGAGCCATAGTTTCTTTGAGTAGCTTGCTTTTGGATGACCGCAAACCCAGATGACCTGGAGCATAGAACTGGGCAAGATCACCTAAATAAGCTGGAGCATCACTCTGTAGGACTCCCTAACAAAGACTCATTAACAAAGAACCAGTATGCCAGGTCTTCATAAGGCACAGCTAGTGTGAGTTTCATGAGAATGATTAGTTGTTGAAACTGGCGACACATCGTCTGGTGGGCAGTTTGCTTTTAAACAAGCATTAAAACTGCATAAGTTTAGTTCAGCATGGTTGTTACTAGCCTGTGCTTCCAAAACCGTGTTATCAGCTGCAAACATATCAGTCTGCATTGCCATTTCTGTTGTCATGCAGTCAGTTTGTGTGGTCTGTCCTACAGGACCGTGATCTGGCAACTCCTCTGGATCTTCTTGGAGTTGGTCTTGTAGGCTCAGAAGTCCTTGCACTGCACACATCTGTGACTTCTGTCTTGTCGTGCTGCCCTCTCATGTCTCTTTTGAGTGAGCTGCACCGATGCAGTAGCCACTGCCCTGCTATCATGACCCACCCTCTGTGTAGCAGCCCAGTCAGGATTGGTTTCATCCCGCAACTCTGCAGGCTTTCCTGTTAAATATAAAGGGAAAATGACACCAAACATTAACGGAATGGACACCAGCCTTTTCAACTTCTATCTTATCTTCAGGTTTTACAGTGAACCTCAAACCACTTTTGTGAACTTGACTTTGAAAGTATGATGTTTAAAAAAGATGGTACAAAGAAAAATATTTAAACAGCTTTTCAGAGCTTTACCATGTTCACTGGGCCCATTACTGCATCGTTCATACCTACATGTAATTATCTCAACCCCCGCCAAAAAAGAGAAAGAAAAAACATTTCTCAAAATTCCCTGTAAATATCACCGATTTGTGACAGCCCCTTATTTCCCATAATTTAGAAAAACCAACATTGAATCATGGAAGCAGTGTCACAAGGGTCAACACAATCCAAATTAAACATGTATTCTATTTTGCAAAATAAATTTTAATTCCAGTCAACCCTCATTTTCAATCTGTGCTTTTCACCGTAAACACATTCACGAATTATTTCACGATCAAAAAGGTTAACCTGGTGTTTCACTAATATGAGAAATATAACTAGTAATATTCAAAATAAGGTCAACAAAGCATACCTGTGATGAAATGTTCAGAACATACTCGATAATTTCCAATCTTTTCCACTGAGATGTCTGCCCTGTTGATAAGTGCCAGCCACATGTGCAGTCATCTCTGCTTCAGTTCTTGCTTTTCTTTGCTGTCTTTCACTTGAACTTTGGGAATTCTGAGGAAAGACAAAGGGCCTTCTCTGTCTCCACGATTGCCACAGTTCGATGGCATAAAAATTTACCATTTTGCTGACATTTACGTAACCTCAAACTGCAGATTCTGAAAGTGCGACACAGCGCAGAATATTGTGTGCAGGTGTACTAGTTATGTATTGTGAACATACAGCTGCAGCTGTGTTTGTCCTCCAGAATGCACACAGGTCCCCATGCGTCACAAACTTTGACCTTTTGAACTCTTGTGCGAGCACCCTATATAAATCACCTTTGTCCTTTAAATGTACTTTTGTCCTATATATATACATTGGTTTTGTGCTTTATGTATTACTTTCATCCTGTATACACTTCTTTGGTCCTTAATATATTTGCTTTTTATATTTATTTCACTTTCGTCCTACATATATAAGTTCTGTTTGATTTTTTTTCACAATAAAGTCATAAAGAGCACCCCATACAAAATACATGGGATAAATTCTTGGTCCCACATGCATGGAAAATAAACTGAATGAAATAAAATTATATGATTAAAACCATCTGGTTGAAAAAAAGGTAGGATTTTTCCAAACTAAGGAGGTGGCTTGTAGTGACATCAAGTGGATAGATCTCTTTCAAAAGAGGTGTGGTTCTGATAAGAACTGGGGAGTGTGTACTCAACGATTTGACCAGTGTGCTTTGGTCCTCCTCCCAGAAGGAGATCTGTTCTTTTGCTTTGGGTTGCTACAAGACCAGATGTAAAGTGTAAACAGACTCAAATGGATTGATAATTCTATAAGTGGTGTCACACACAGCCTGTACATCCTTATTGTCTTTTATCACGATTGACCTCATAAGGTCCATTCCACGACCTTTGCCATCTGTCCAGCCCTGCCTGCCATTAGCTCACACTGGTTTGAGATAGTTGCTCAAAGGTGCTGGGATAGAATTTCCCAGTGGACACATGCCTGGTTAATGGTCTGTTCAAATACTTGGTCAGCAGGGAAACTGGCAAAACCATGGTTATCTTGTCTGTACACAGTGAATTCACCGTCAAGAGCAGCATGAACTTTGGATGAGTTGTTGACAGGCTGTGGATTTTCAACCAATATGCCGGGAGATACCTTGAGTACTTTGTATACTCATAGGCAAAGAACCATGGAATAGAGGAACTTACAGCAGACAAGTGAGACAGGCAATCCCCCTCTCTTGTGGCATGAATGAAAAGCAGCAAGGTTTAAACCATATTTATTTATGAAGACCAGAACTCAAAAGTAGGCATTATGGACTGACCTGATGAGTGAAACATACTTCTCTACAAGTGTGCAATACTGGCTGCTTATGACACAATCAGTGTACATGTACCCTGTGCTGGGAAATGTCTGCATTGTCCGTAATCCATCTGACGCTGGTGTTTGCTCCACATCACTGAAAGCCTTCAAAAAGATTGTCATCTGAGCCCTTCCATGGCTTCACTGATGATTTGTGGATTCTCACATTTTTACTTTAATGATTCCCAGGTAGAACTCTATTGATTGAGCCTTGAGGTACAATTTCTACTTTAATGCCTCACGGAAATGTTTTTCCAATTACAAGCAAGGAAGGCTATGCAGGTATGGAATTCTCCAAGTCAAACAACTACTCGTTTCATGAGCTGTGTATCCTCCATCTTTATTTGTGGATCGTGCATTAAATAGTTTGATACAGTACAATATTGCAGCAATTTGTCTGCAGTCTTCACACCTTTTAACAGGACAGTGTAACTTGTGTTTTTCTGAGTGGGTGGTGCTTCGATGACTAGGAGGTAATAAACCTTAGACTTCACACCATTGAAACTGAATGATGGTAAACTAAAAACTAAAACTATGAATGATGGTATTGAAAGCTGTCCAACCTGGAAGTTAACACACCTGTGGTAATCTTGAAAGGGTAAAAGCCCGATCTGCATCTTGCAGTTGGAGGAATACAGATGTGCTCATGTATATCTCCATCTTTTCCAAATCGCTCTGGTACCTTCTTCAAGCCACCATAGTATGGGTAAAACTTACTGCTGTTGATTTGATTCATTTTTCTGTGACCTTGGGATACCTGGACGATCATGATTTGGTTGGTGTAACTGTTCATCAGCCTGAATTATGATAACCATTTGTTACATGCATTGTGTCTTTCCCTGAATGTGTTTCCTCTGCAAAGTCATTATTGTCCTAAACCACAGAAGTGAAACATGACTGTACCCATCTGGCAGTATGCTATCCTCTCAAGCCAACTGCTGTTTGCCCAATATTGTGTCGTGTTCCAGGACCATAAAATGGGACATGCAGGGGTCACACGCATTCAAATGCCAACGGGCCTTGCTGAACCTGTGGTGTAAAATGGTCAGTGCCAAGGAAGTATGCCTAGGAAGGATCACACAACTAATTCCCGGGCAACAACTAAGAAAAATCTTGCATTTCGCGACTGGCTTGCTGATGATGTGGGAAAAGGACTGCGCCAAAACAACCTCCGTCAATCTTTTCAAGTCGTCAAGTGTATCTGGCCCCTCACAAAAAGGAAGCACTACCTAACAATGTAACCAAGGCCGATAGTCTTCATGGTAATGACCTGGAAGAATGACACACTGACGAGTCCACTGATGATGACTGGGCATTACGTCCAGATGAAGCTGTGTCTAATTGATCACTCCCCATAAACAACAGATCTTGGAAGTATTTTCAGGTATGCTAATCTTACATACATGTACATGTACTTAGTGTTAACCCCTGAACAAAAGAGGTCCACATCATGCAGGCATGATGAGCAGGCAGGATGAGCAAAGTAATTTCTAGAAATTACTTTACTCCTACGTTTCAAGAAATTTCCTCCAATAATGGAAGTTTCCAAAAATTAACCAACAAAACGTCAGAAATTCAAGTATTCAAGAAATCTCTAGACATTCATAACATCCTCCCCGTGAGTCAATACACAGGTTCTCACAACTGGTATATTCACATAAATATTTGGCATCATGTGCATGGGTGAATATAACTACTAACAAACAAGAGAGGAAGAAATTGCAAGCCTTCAGGTTGACAAATTTACATCTCACTCATGTAGGTCCTGAGAAAAGGAAGAGCGTACCAACCCGATGCAAGTGTTAAAGACTTGGGCACCGATGGTCAAATTTACTATGGTATAGAACACGAGCAAGGAGATCCTTCTAAAATACATCCTTGTTTGGTGCTTTCGTTCAATCAGACTTACAGTTCTTATTAAGGATTGTAAACATATTACTTTTGTGATGCCACATGACATATTCAACATGGGGTTTCATCACACTTGACGATGAAAAGTTGTGCTACTTTGATCAGAAAAATGTCCCAAACTGGTACCAAAAAAAGAGGATCCAGAAAAGAAAAATGGAAAAAAGTGAAGAAAAAATAATGATTTTCCCAACATCAATTGGGAACAGCTGCAAATGCAACGTATTTGCAATAACAATTTACAAATTCATCTTACCTGCTCATTGGTAGTCCTTCCTCTGCACACCAGTGATATGTGGAAAATGACTAAAATAAAAATAGGAAACGCAGCCAGAGCAGTGATACAAAGAATCACAAGGCTTTTTTCTCAAAGTTAAGGATTTAATACTGGTAGATCTCTTTAAAAAAAAAAAAAAGAAAACAAGGCCAAGGGTGAAAAATATACCTTGTCTTCCCTATCCTAAAGTTTCAAGAACTTTCAAGATCTTTTGGAATACAAATTATCATCAATCATTCCGTTCCATTTCTTGCCATAGTGACTTTGATCTCTCACCTTCTGGACAATATAAACCCCACCTTTCCCATGTGACGCCCTTTAGCTGGGTTGAGAACTTGAGATCCATATAAACTTTACCTGAGGGATCAGAAAATTTAGTTTGGAATTCAACGTATAAGTAACTTGGGGCCTTGGTCCCAAACTGACATTCTTCAGATCAGAGATGGCTGTGGCTGGGTGCTCCAGCATGTTGATAAAGTAGCAATGGCCATATCTACAATGTCGTAAAGGTAACCACAGCACTAGAATAAGTGTGCATAGCATGACTGCTATAATGTACACCTGAATGAGGGTAGGTAACAGCCTTGGCACTGGTTTCTATGGTGCAGCTTACCATAATTGCACAAGGATCAACAACAAGGGACACACAGATACCGTACATGTAGGTGCAAACACAATAGTACATTTTGTATAATTTGGTCAGCATTGAAAATGCAGCAAATGGAGAGACTGTGTTAACCCTTTAATACCTTTGGACCTTTAAGTATGTTGCTCACATGTTTACCTTGTGGGTTTATCAACATTTACATGTACAGTACAATGCTGTAATAACAAACACTGCTGCAATGAATGTTGGGTTTTGAAAACATTCCCCTTATCTCAAGAATTTTCCCTTTTCACTAAAACATTGAAATTTGCTTCAGAGAGAAATACATTTAGGACTGATGATAATCACATGAAACCAAAAGCCAAGGAAAGTTAAATCTTATGCGTGAAGAAACAACAATTACCACACGGTGTATATCGTTCATGGCTACATGTACATCTGTACTTAAGTGATGATGCAGAACAGCTGTCAAATATGTATACCACAATTAAAAAAGCAACTGCTACACTGTACATGTATATAGAACTTCTTAGTTTGCTCAGTGGGTACAAAGACAAGAATTTTAGCTGAAAATAAATTCATGATAATGGACAAAAACTTTGAAGATAGACAAGTTTGAGCTTTTTATGAAACACGTAACTTGCAGAAATCTTTGTTAAATTTTTCTAGATTTAATAATTTGTGACAATGCTTGGGCAACATTTCTTTCATTGCCAAGGTTGGACATTTTGTAACGGGTTTTGCCCTTACCCAACGTACTTATTAATAAACACTGTATGCTCAGTGCTTGTCCGAGAGCTTCCCCCCCCCCAAAAAAATCACAAGCTTACTCGGGTGGGACTCGAACCCACGGCCTCCTGCTTACTTGTGCAGATGTCTTAACCACTCGACCACCGGTTGGTTGGCCGGTCCGAGTCAGGTGTAGCAGCGGGTATCGCGAACTATTTCAAGATGTATTTTGTGTTGGGGAGATGTTAATTTATTACGGGTTTTGCCAGGAGCATTTTGGTAGACGATACTGTGTTTGCTTTAGCAGCATTGTACTATATGTAAATATAAAAACAAATTGTGTATACTCTATACCACAGGCCATCAAACCAGTGGACACACATATCAACCACGGTTGCATAACATGCACAAACTATCCACGGCCATTTGTTCATGCAATCATGAAATCTAATCATTAACCACAACAAAGAGATTTCAGCATACTTCAATCATAGAAGATAAAGAAACAATCCCACATTTTTCCAAATGCAAGCTCATCTCAGCTGCTGCTCATACACGTAAAAAGGATACGATATGATGGGTTTGGCATATCCAAGTTTCTCCTTTTCATTCAGCACAAATGTTAATGTGAGAGTGAAGACAGACACCATATGAGCTGTCAATGACAGCAGAAAGATGAAGAAAAAGCGATAGTTGCGTTTTCCAATGCAGTTATTGACCCAGGGACAGTGATGATCAAACTTCTACAGAGGAAAATAAACAAAACAAAAACAAGCTTTAGAATCGTTATTTTACAATCAATTATAAATAACACGAAGCTCAACATCCATAAAGTACTGTTGAAATCTACAAGACTGAACATCAAGTTCCTTTTCAAATCTGTATTTCATGGAGGGAAATTTCCCCCAATTATCTCATCTATAATTGTAATCTATAAGCTCAATAACAAGAACTTATACTCGGACTCACAAATGAACAAACTTCCAGACAAATTATTTTCCTGACTATTGCCACAGCATCTATTATTTATCATTTTGCCAGATAAATCTTTTTTGGGCAAGCTGGCATCAGTCATATGGGCTGGTAGGCTCCAAAACATACCGGTACATCAAAAAAAACACAGGACTCCCAGGTCTGATGTACATGTAATATTGTTATTTGGCTTACAGGCCAACCATAAATGAATGGGCACAATCATGAAATAATAGAATGATCCATCCAACCTTTTAGGGTCAGAGCTGGTTGTGCTATGGAACATATAGCACCCCATGGGTACATAAGAGGGTGTGGCTGACCCCTTACAAATTACAGTGTATTATGGCAAACATCATTGTCAAAATTACTTCATTGGTACACACATGTACAATGTATCATAACAGTAAAGATACATGTCACATCTTTTATGTATTAGGAAGTGGCTATCTGCGGTGGGCAAATTGACCCAGCTTGCCCAACAAGCTGTGACAGAATGATCCTCACATGAGAATTTCCCTCCTTAACCAGCATTGCCTGACAGAAGTAATCTGAACCCTTGCCTGATTGGCTAAAACAAAGGACTGTGATTGACTACCAGTTAGTGCACAGTAACTCTGATTGGCCCACTTTATAAATAATTAGTGCTAGAATCCTCTTCAGAATCCACTTTGTGAACCTTCAATTTTCAAACTGTCATAACTGCAAGAAAAGGGTGGGCAATTGAACGCAAACTGGTGCAGATTTGTGGGGATCTGTGGCACCTTTCTGGAACCATGAATATAACCACACAAGGCAGTAAAGATTTTACAGCATTCTTCCTCTAACCACGAAGAGCTGCATACATGCTTGTGATCCCACCTTATGCATAAAGAGTTGGGCAGAGTGCAAAAAGTATAACATCTGCCAGGAAGTGTGTCAGCTATGTAAGGCAGTGCACATAGGACTACGTGCCTATATCTAATACAGTAAGATTCTTCAAACCTTGCAAACAGATCTCTGTTCCACCAAGTATAAACGGTTCCGTCAAAATACACGCATTGCGACGGAACCTTGTATCACCCAAAATAAATACGGGTCAATTCTACTAGCATGTAGTCACCCACAAAACATTACAACATTTAATTAACAATTGTTGACAGCTATGGTGTGGGATATAATATTTTGAAGACCAGAGGGAAGCATTCGCCGAGGGCACTATGCATCCCTTGGGAGTTCAAAACGTCATATCCCACATCACAGCAGTCAACAATAGTTTTGTCATACCGCTGTCTTAAGGAATTTATTCAAAGAAACAATCTCTGAATTTCAGAAGACAATAGGCCTACTGTCAAACTGTACAATTATCCTATAAACAAACAAAAATAATATCGTCTGCAAATGCACTGTTCCCTCACTGCCTTTAATTGTGTAAACTTCAATGTGAAACTAGTGTGGGTACCGGTGAGTACATGTAGTCAAGTTAGCGGTCCCCACATTAGTGGTCCCATTACCTTACACACTGCGGGGGACAGGAACGAGTCTGTTATACTAGCGTGATCATTAATCAAATACCCTGGTAGCCTATGCACAAAATGTATCATGGGTACCATGCAAAATTGACTAAAGGATCAGAAATGTTTGTTCTTGAACTTCCCAAAGCTCTTCGCATGCATGCACTATCAGCAGAAAGAGATATCTCACATGAGTGTGATACGCGGATGTATCGCCTAATTATGTGATCACTCTGGGCCAATAAACGGACAGCATCCAAGACAGAGGTACAACAATGTACATTTTTTCACAGAGGGTGCAAGCTATTCACAAAACTTTATTTTCTCTGAGTATCTTGTGGCCAACCTGCTTGCCATGACAACAGTACTTTCTCTTTTTTTGTTGTACAAGCATGTAGGCATAGGCATCAGCAAAAGTGGATAGGGGGTGACCTCTCCAGTGGAATCCACCTACACTTCTGGGAGAGGGGTGATCTGCTGTATTGTCTTCAACCCACAAAGTGTTACTACATATATAGAGTAACACCACTACAGGAACAGTGTATGGCACAAATGTGCCTGAAATGAGAGGGCTGCCACTAGAAAAGTTTTTCAAAGCTTACGGCTAAATGTATATGAGGTATCCTTTTTGACTATATTAGTCCCCCCAAAAATCAAATGAAAATAATATATTTATATATATAAAACAAAACTGATATATATCGGACAAAAGTGGAATAAATCTAAAATGAATCAAATATATAAAAGACGAAAGAAATATATGTAGGATAAAAGAAATACATAAAGTATGAAACCAATCTATATAGGACAAAATTATATTTAAAGGACAAAGGGAATTAATATAGAACAAAAACTAACAAATACACAACAAATCCCATACATAAACAACAAAACTAATAAATATTGAACCAAAATAAGATATACGATGAAACTAATATTTATAGGTTGAAATTAATACATATAGGATGAATCTAATATAATAGAATGAAACTAAAAAAAATAAAACATCAAATGAAACTAATAAATACAGAACAAAACTAATAAAGAGGATGAAGCACCGCCATCTCGATGCCAGACCGGTTGCGATATAGACAAATGTAAAATATATTGAACGAAAATGTAAAATACATATGTGTACGTGTACATTGTACACGCAGTAGGTAGGCCGGAGTGGTGATGCAGATTTGATGTTTGGAGTTGTCACTCATGGGCGAAACAGGCCTGCTTGAGCGGTCACTTGGACTCAGATTTGATGTATGGAGTCGGCTCTTTGAAGGTGGAACCGCCAATGGCAGGTACCTGTTTCTTCACAAAAGCGGAGCCGCCGATTCTGATTTTTTTTGGAACCATGATTCCACTCGGAACCGGGAGCAATCCTACAGTTGAGCCTCAAATTTCTTTCCTTTTATTTCATCACTTTGTAGATTTATGGACTGATTTCCTTGCTTGTAAAGCCTATTTTTTACAAAATGGACTTATGCAGGCTATCACAAAACCAATACCAAGAAATTAATATTTCATGATAATTAAAAAGATTCTGAGTGAGACAGTGTATGAGGGGAAACATGCAGTCTTCAATTATATTTTGAATTTTAATTAGAAAATACTGTACCAAATCATGGAATTTCAACTGAGGCAATCATGACTGTACATACTAGAATTTCCTAGGTAACCCCCCCCTTTTTTAAACATCTTAAAAACAAGATTATACGACAGGGATGGTATTGGAGGTTTTTCTTATTAGAATAGAAAATCCCCACAGATTTGGGGAGAATCTATTACAGAAAATACCTCAACTTCAATACCTACAAACATATAGAGTAGCACCAGATTGACCTGAAAGAAAGGGGGGGGGAGATGTGCAGTGTAGAAACCAGAAGATAAAGGTTTTCACCAGGCCTGGCTAAAACATGAGATAGCATGTGAAATAGTTAACACATACCTGGGAGCTGTAAACTTGAAGTCCTTAAGAGGAAGTTCTAGCTGTTCACCAGGTTCTCCTAGTTATTGTATGTGCATTTGACGCAGGACTTGTACACCCATACAGCCTTCGGCTTGGAGGATGTCCCGCATATAGCAGGATGTGAAAGTTGATGGATTCTTCCAACATGCTGCTTGCATAATATCCGAAACAGCCACACCTTGAAAGAGAGCCATGCTCCTCCTCTGATGGGCTTGAACTTGAGCCTGAGATGCAAGCTGCATCTATACTGGTTGAAAATGAGCTTGAGTAGCATAATGCAATATTTGTGGCTCCAGTGGGTCAGAAAGCCCCCGATCTGCTTGATGAGCCCGAGCTGCACCGTGCAATGTTCGCGGCTCTAGGGAGTCAGCAGTCAAAGTTGATGCATGATGCTCCAGATCTGGCTTATGAGCCCGAGTTGCATAGTGCAACGTTCGTGGCTCACCTGGTATTGGAGAAACTGGGTGATCAGTGCATGGCTGATCTGACGTACAAGGCTTAGACCCACTTGGCTGTTTCAGTGGTGGTGGTGCTGTGAGAGGCAACATGGCTTCAACAATCCACCTTTCAATAGTTGTCACTGAAGCTGGGTAATGTGGATAAACTGTTGTGATGAGCAGTTGCGAGGTAACACCTTGGAGCTCCTTGGTGAGAGCAATGGAAAACTTTAATATTCCCATAGGGCACCATAATGCATCCTCTTGAATGCTGGAAAAGGATGTCAAGCTAGGAATGAAAATATCTGGAGGAGTAAAAGTTAGAATTTGACAGGGCTGGACAGGGCATGAAGTTCACTTTTGCACTGTCCAGGTTGCAAGGAGACAAGTGATGAAGTGAAAAAGATCCAGTTCAAAAGGTGCTTTGGACAGCTTGAGAAGAACTGTGCAAAGGTTCCAACTTGGAATAAGCTTTTTGTTTGGTGGTTGCTCCACAAATATACCTTCCATTAAGTGGGAGATGTCTGTATTGTTGGACATATGAAGACCATCTCCAAACCCAGTGTGTACTGACCAAATTGGTAACCTTGGACTGTGGAAACTTGGAGACCAGAGTTCAAGAGATAAAGTAGGAAATGTCCAATGACAGTAAGAGACGCAGAATTGGGATTGACAGCTTTCAGTGAAAAGAAATATGTTGGACAATGAAGTGACCTCTCTGTGGGAACTGCATAGCTGTGAGACAGGGCATCTGCAATTGATTTTTTTTCCTGACAGGTGACTGACTTGATGAGATATCTGGTGAGGAATGCACCAATTGAGGAGTTTCCATGTCAGCATGCACAGGAAAGGTGCATGAGTTCCCCCCAATGGTTCAG